TCCTGTTTGCTGACTATGGTGACCCTCTCCCTTACCTGTGAGCTCCAGCATGACCCTGGCTTAGCTCATCCGCACCCCCTCCTCCCTGCCCCCACACATCACACGCTCTGGCCTGCCTCAAACTCTCCATTCCTTTCCCTGCCCCCAGGACTTTGCACCAGCTATTCTCTACAAACGGAATGTTTTTTTCCCCTTTCTCTACCTCTCCTGCTCAACTCTCCTCCTCCTGGTAGTCCTCTCTGATCGCCAACCGTAGGCCAGGCCTCTTACACATTCTAATAAAATTCTAGGTCTTTCCTTCCAGGTTCCTACCACAGTTTTTGGACTGCCGATCTACTGGATGGTTATTTGATTACCAGCTCTCACTGCCATAGCCTGGCCTGCAGAGGGAGGAGACCATGAGTTTTTTCCTATTACATCCCTATACTCCGTGCACATGTGCAGACAGACAGGAAGGCATCGGAGCTGAGGGTCTGGCTTGGGCAAGGCTTGAAGAAATAGAAGAATGAGGCGTTGACATAAGAGACTGTGTGTGTGCACGTGTGCGTTCTTAGGTATGAGTTTCTTTTCTATAAATAAAAGAATGCCGCTGCTGATAAAAACGAGCAGGCATAATCTATGCAATCAGAAACTGCCCTGAATATTCAGGTGCCTCTTATATAAGCCGAGAGTTCCTCTTTTGCTCCTTAGAGTAATTACTTCCTATAATGGCAAGCAGCACACATTCTTTAACAAAACATACTATCTGAAAGTGTGTTACTTACGTAAGGAACGCGGCTGTATTACCGCCATCACAGCCCATCAGCTCAAAAGATTCAAGCCCCAAGCGAATTCGCAAGCCATCACCCCAGGACAAGAGCCGGCTTTTATCTTCTCAAAACAATGAGAAGAAAACTCCCGTGCAGCCCTGTGTGCAGCGTGAAGACGCCTGGATCCGATGGGGGCACGAATGTGTTCACTGAGGGTGCAAGCTGAGCTGCTGCAGTGCCCCCACTGTCTACACTCTCCCCTCAAAAGCAGAAGCCAAACCAGTCTGCACAACCAGAGCAAGCGCAGGCACCATGGAGAAGCTCCTTCCAGGTGCAGCGTCCAGTCCCTGCAGTACAGACCCAGGGCCCTAGGCCTGGGTGCTGGTGACACAGCCCTGCACCCATCATGGCAACCGCAGAGAGGCGCCCTGCACCTGTGTGAACCCTCTCCTCACACCCTCTGACAGAGGCTGGCCTCCGGACTGCAGCCTCCAGCCTGAGGCCAGAGCCTCCATCCCAGCAGGGCAAGCAGTGGCTCCCCCCGCGTCCGGGAACCAGCCCAGCGGGAAACG